TAGAATTTATTTCAAAATTGGAAACAACCATTACTTTAGTCTTTATAGCATTAACTCTTAACCAATAGTCTCCACCTTTTTTCACTAATCTGTTAACGATTTATCATAATTTTTAAAACAAAGTCGTCATAAATTTGTATGTATTTGACATTTTAAACCTTAAACTCTTTATACACGGATATAATTATTTTTACTTTTGAGAGAGCAGTGAGTTATGAAATTATCAAGGCTAAATAGATCGCCTTTTGTTTTTATATTAAAGCTTCACGTTTGACCACCAAAGCATAACTCCTAACCAATGAACATATCTTTAGTGGTCACCCAGAGATATGATTGGCGGAGCTGTATCATCCCTGGTTTATCTTCAAGGACTTACAGCAGCGACCTTGCTAGGAGGCATGAGGAATGGGGAGAGGAGGAGGAAAGAGGGAAGGGGAGAGGGAGAATAAGAAGGGAGAGGAGGAAGAGGGAGGATAAGGAAGGAGAGGGGGGGGGGAGACGAGGAGGGAGAAAGATCGTGCAAAGTAATATTATAAACAGTTGTTGTCGTGTTCCCTGGTTGTGCCTCAGTCATCAGGTCAGAGTCAAGGTCAAGACCAACCAGTTTATCCAGTGTGAGCGCCTCTAGTCCAGTGACCCACCAACCACAGACGGTCATTTGTTTCTCTCTGTCTGCCTTTTCATGTGTCTGTCTGTCCGTCTGTTCCCTGTCTTTCAGTGACTCTATCTCTGTCTCAGCATGCCCGTCATTTCATGTGTCTATTTCCTTACTATTTAAGCTAGTTGTTTAGTTATAATATAATAGCCATTTTGTTTTAGTTCATATCTCTATACACACATTCACATGTCCGTCTTGGTGTTGTAACTATTGTATAATGTGTGGCTCTTGGCGAACTCTTTGATTACGATGATTGAACCCCTTACGTGTACAGTGGTTGAACCCCTTACGTGTACAGTGGTTGAACCCCTTACGTGTACAGTGGTTGAACCCCTTACGTGCAATATCATGGTCCTTCTACCAGTCCCTTACCACCACAACCACTACAACAGATCACCACCATCATTTCCCCTACCACAACCACTGGTTACCATTATCCCCTTTCACCACAACCACCACCACAGGTCACCATCATCCCCTTAACCACCACCCCTACCACTATAACCACCACCACCACCCCTACCACCATCACCCCTACCACCATCACCCCTACCACCATCACCCCTACCACCATCACCCCTACCACCACTTACCACTACCACCATCACACTTTAACCCACAAATTAGACGTTCATCAGGGGGACAGTCTATCATTAGGAGCAAATTACCTGTAGTTGGTAGTGTAGGGGTGTTGTTCCTCACGTCCAGGTGTGTCCTTAACGCTAATTGACACCTTTTGCCCAGCCCACGCAAGAAACGCATCCGACAGACAGAGAGACAGACAGATAGACAGACAGACAGACAGACAGACAGACAGACAGACAGACAGACAGACAGACAGACAGACAGACACTCGGTGGAAACTTGGCGTAGGGAAGATAATTGTTTAGGGGGGAATTTATGGCGTCTTGCTTTGATTGGAGGGGAGGGAGGGAGGGGAGGAGTGATGGAGGAAGGAGGAAGGGAGGAAGGTTGGAGTCTGTTGGGGAGAGAGAGAGAGAGAGAGAGAGAGAGAGAGAGAGAGAGAGGGGGGTGGTGGGGGGTCAGGCACCTCCTTCACACCACACCATATAATCTGTTCCCCTCCATCACCCTCGGCCTGACCCTGTGTGGGATGGAAACTCTTCCTCCTGTGCTGTGACGTCGAGGCTATGATGTTGTGCTGTGTTGATAGATGATGTTGCACTGCTGTGGAGATTGATCATGGCGTTGCTGTGGTGGGGATGGTGCCGTGGTGATGGTGCTGTGGTGGGGTGGTTGCTGCTGGGGTTGCCGTGATGATGGTGCTGTGGTGGGGATGTAGCTGCGGTGGGGATGGTGCTGTGGTAGGGCTGTCGTAGTGAGGATGGTGCTGTGGTGGGGGTTGTTGTGGTGGGTTTGCTGTGGTGGGGATGTAGCTGGTGGGGATGGTGCTGTGGTGGGATGGTGCTGTGGTAGGGTTGTCGGTGAGGATGGTGCTGTGGTGGGGATGGTGCTGTGGTGGGGATGGTGCTGTGGTGGGGATGGGGTTGCCGTGGGGTTGGTGCTGTAACTAAATTCGTACTGTACTTGCACCTGTACTGTTACCTGTCGCTGTGCTTGTACCTGTATTTATTATCACACCTGTACACAAATCACACCTGTACATATAATCACACCTGTCCACAAATCACATCTGTAATTATACCTGAACCCTATACAGGTAACTATATCCGTCTTGTATTCTTGGTTCTGAATGAGTGAGAGAAGAGAGTGAGGTGAAGTATAGACCGTCTTGCCGGTATAGATCTTTGTAGTAAGTATATATCTCCTGGTTAACTTACCTCTGTTACCACTTACGTGTACAGGTGAGAAATGTACGTACTTCTGTCCACGTGATGTTGTGCCCTTCCTTACTGTTATCAGGAGGGAAGGAGGTAGTTAAAGAATGAGGGAGGGAGGGGGTAGTGAAAGAATGAGGGAGGGGGGGAGGGAGTTAGTGAAAGAATGATGGGTAAAAGAGGAGGGGGAAAGGATGTAAATAGGAGGGAGAGGTCGAGGAGGAGGAAGGGAGGGAGGAAAGAAGGGAGGGAGGAAAGAAGGGAGGGAGATTGTGTTGCTAGACTAATCTCCCTCACAGTAAAGTGCATCTGGCAGAGACACTTCACTGTTTCATCCTGGCTTGTGTGGACGTGGGCGGCCTGGTGTGGGCGGCCTCTGTTAAGCGGAGAAATATGGGCGGCGCGTTGTGGGTGGCCTCTAGATTGTGGTGTAATACAGGTGGTCTTTGGATGGCGGTGGGTTCTGGAGGGCTTGGTGTGGGCGGCCTGGTGTGTTTAATGGGTTGTGGGCGGCAAGGTGTGGATAGCATGGTGTTGGGAGACAAGGTGTGGGCGGCATGGTGTGGGAGGCAAGTTGTGGGCGACATGATGTGGGAAACAAGGTGTGGGCGACAAGGTGTGGGCTGCATGGTGTGGGAGACAAATTGTGGGCAACATGGTGTGGGAAGCAAGTTGTAGGCGACATGATGTGGGAGACAAGGTGTGGGCTGCATGGTTTGGGAGACAAAAAGGTGTGGGCTGCATGGCGTGGGAGGCAAGGTGTGGACATCATGGTGTGGGCGGCATGGTGTGTGAGACAAGGTGTGGGCGGCATAGTGTGGTCGGCCAGTGTGTATGTATAGCTCTACAAATTCTTACTCACAAAAAATACTCAGAAAATTCAGGAAAACACAAAATTCTCACAAAACCGAATCAGGAAAACACAAAAACTCACAAAACTGACTCGGGAAACCACAAAATCTCACAAAACTTGCTCGGGAAAACACAAAAACTCACAAAACCGACTCAGAAAACACAAAAATTCTCAGACGTGCCATAAATGAAGCGAAAAAAAATATATTACGCCAGTGAGTTAAAAGGCGTCCCTCTGGCCACACTTTTTACCTAGGCAGTGTGTTTGTCACTCAGTCTTGTCTGTTTGTCGAGGTTTTGTCAATGTCAGGCTATAGAACGCTCCCCGGTGGCCAGTGTGTGTGTGTGTGTGTGTGTGTGTGTGTGTGTAATAATAATAAATTATAATAATAAACGGTTTATCTAATAGAGTTGCAGCCGGTGGCTGAAATTATACAGACTTACATTTAATTTAGACATAATGATATAATATGCATTGAATACATTTACAGGGCTGTACAGTACATAAATCAGGAGTTGTTTATTATTTTAACAATAGATGGGATGGTGCTGTTCTTATATCTATCGGTGCGGGCTCTTATGGGCTGAATTTTGTTGTAGTGGCGGACTGCGCGAGTTGGTGGGGGGCTGCAGGAGGTGGCGATGACGAGGGCGGTGCAGTAGTCCACTGCCAAACCTTTCCAGTGCTTGATGGTGGAAGTCACTGAGGGATGGCATTTCCAGGGTGGAGAGAGCGTTGGTGTAGCCGGAGTATTCTGCGCCGAGCATGATTCTGCAGGCCCTTTTCTGTACCTTCTCTAGCTGACGTTGTTGGGTGGAGTTGAGAGAAGTTGTGTGTGCTAGGTAAGCTGGCCTCATCTGGTGAAGTGGCAGACCGTAAGTGGTGAGGCTCTGAGGTCGACAAAATGAAGTCAAAATTAAGCTAAGACTCTCCTTCAACTATCTCAGGACCCACTACACTCAGTCGCCTGTTTGTGGTCAGGGATTAAATGCATAGAATGACTTAAGACTCAGTGGTGGCGACAATACCAGTCTGATGAGGCATTGTTATGACGTCCTTGGCCTAACTCTCGTGTGGAAGGTTATAATGTAGAATAATATTCACCTGAAGATTATAGGTAACCATCTTATTTTACCTGATGATTAAACACCCCTAACCTAACCTATCTTATTTCACCTGATGATTAAACACCCCTAACCTAACCCATCTTATTTTACCTGATGATTAAACACCCCTAACCTAACCTATCTTATTTCACCTGATGATTAAACACCCCTAACCTAACCCATCTTATTTCACCTGATGATTAAACACCCCTAACCTAACCTAACCTAACCTAACCCATCTTATTTCACCTGATGATTAAACACCCCTAACCTAACCTAACCTAACCTAACCCATCTTATTTCACCTGATGATTAAACACCCCTAACCTAACCTAACCCAGCTTATTTCACCTGATGATTAAACACCCCTAACCTAACCTAACCTAACCTAACCCAACCCATCTTATTTTACCTGATGATTAAACACCCCTAACCTAACCTAACCTTTATTTCAGCACACACACACACACACACACCTCACATAACAGCTCACTTGCGGGTCGTTATAGAGAGAAAGTGAGTCAGTAGTACACGGAGATGAGAAAGAGTTTTTACGGCTGTGAGTTACAGAGGGAGGACATAGTATGGTGCAAGGTCATGGTATGGTGCAAGGTCTTGGTATGGTGCAAGGTCTTGGTATGGTGCAAGGTCTTGGTATGGTGCAAGGTCTTGGTATGGTGCAAGGTCTTGGTATGGTGCAGGGTCTTGGTATGGTGCGGGGTCTTGGTATGGTGCAAGGGCTTGGTATGGTGCAAGGTCTTGGTATGGTGCAGGGTCTTGGTATGGTGCGGGGTCTTGGTATGGTGCAAGGTCTTGGTATGGTGCAAGGTCATGGTATGGTGCAAGGTCATGGTATGGTGCAAGGGCTTGGTATGGTGCAGGGTCTTGGTATGGTGCAAGGGCTTGGTATGGTGCAAGGTCTTGGTATGGTGCAAGGGCTTGGTATGGTGCAGGGTTCTGGCATCACCCTTCATCACGTGGTCACATTATTTATCTCACTGTCTCCCTCTTTGATGTTTTGTCATTTATTATCTTGATTTCTTCCTCTTTTTCTCGTATTTCCTCCGTCATGACAAAGTGAGCCGTCAGTAAAGGTTCTTCCTCATCAGCCTGTCAGACAGTCCCCCTCCCCTTACTTTGATTAGCCTGTTAGATAGCCCCCTACATCTTCGAGCCTGTCAGCCAGTCCCTCTTGCACTTTAATAGCCTGTCAGCCAGCCCCCTACGTCACCAAGTTTGTCAGACAGTCCCCTACATCACCAAGCCTGTCAGCTAGTCCCCTACATCTCCCAACCTGTCAGCCAGCCCCCTACATCACCAAGCATGGCCACCAGTCCCTATCAGTCCCTTGAGGAGACAAACAGCCGAGTTCGCTCACTAATTATCTCAGGTTAATTTTAGCCAGTGTGGCGGTAGTGTGCGCCTGGCGACCACGGCGACCCATGGCAGCCGCAGCATCTGTCTTCTACCCTTCGCCCGGCGACCAAAAAAACGGAAATAGGAGGAAGAGGATGAGGAGAAAGGGGAGGAGAATAAAAAGAAGGAAGAGTAGGAGGAGGAGTAGGTGACGAATACAGGGCGGAGCAAGAGGAAGAGGAGTAGGCCTAAGTGACGAGTACGGGGAAGGAAGGAAGGAAGGAAGGGTGTGGTGGGAAGGAAGGAAGGAACAGGTAAATTAGGATGAGGCAGGTAGGAGGGAGGAAGACGTTGAGGAGGGAGGAGGAAGAAGAGGAAGGGAGGTGGAGGAAGAAGAGGAAGGGAGGCGGATGAAGAAGAGGAAGGGAGGCGGATGAAGAAGAGGAAGGGAGGCGGATGAAAAAGAGGAAAGGAGGAAGAAGAGGATGGGGAGGAGGAAGAGGGGCAGACGGAGGGGATTATGACAGTGCAGTAGTTAGTTCAAGAAGAATGAGAACGTGGAAGAGGAAGGAGAAGAAGAAGAAGAGGGAAACGTAGAGGAGTGGGGGAGAGGAGGAAGGGGGGTCAAAGAAGGAGGAGAAGAAGAATGAGAAAGTGGAGGAGGGAAGAGAAAGGGAGGAAGGAAGGAAGTGGAGGAGCCAAGGGAATGGGAAGGAGGCAAAGGAAGTCAGAGGGTGGAGGAGGATTAGTCAAGGGAAGGAAGACAGGAAGGGGAGGGGAGGAGACTGGAGAAAGATTGGAGGAATGAGGGGAGATGGAGGGGGGAAGGTGGGGGAGGGAGATGGAGAGGGGGGGGTGGTGAGGGAGATGGGAGAGGGGAGGTGGTGAGGGAGATGGAGAGGGGGGAAGTGGTGAGGGAGATGGAGAGGGGGGGGAAGGTGGTGAGGAAGATGGAGAGGGGGGGAAGGTGGTGAGGAAGATTGGGGGTGTAGAAAGAGGGAGTAGATAAGGAAGACGGAGGAAGATGGGAAGAGGAAGATGCAGGGGAAAGAGAGGTGGAGAGATAGAAAGATGTATCGAGGAGGAAATGAGAAAGAGAGATAGAGAGACGGAAGAAGGAGGTAATGTTTTGAGATGAATGAGGAAACAGGAGATAACGAGGAATAAAGGTGAGACAGAACAATGGGCGATAACAGACCGGGAACCGCCTTGGATAGAGAGCAGGAACGAAGGTAGGAATAGGCAACAGTGATAGACAAAGATGGGAATAAGCAATACCACAATTATGATAAACAGAGTAAGAGACCAATCCCAGAGGAAGCTTAGACGTAAGTTGAAGAAGAGAGAGACAGGCAGACAGAGACACAGACAGACAAAACAGACAGATAGAGAGACAGATGGAGAGAGACACCCGGACAGAAAGAGAGACAGACAAAGGCGAAAACAATAACGGTGAGAAAAAAAAATATTAGAGAAAGAAAGAAAGAGGCAAAGAGAGAACGTTGGTAAGAAGAGAGAAAAAATAGATGAGGCCTAGGAGAAAGTTGGGGATAGTTTAAGGAAGGATGGAAGAATGATAGAAAGATGGAGAGAGGAAGTGAAGGAAGAGAGGGCAAGGCATGAAGAAGGAGGGGAGGAGGAGGCAAGACATGAAGAAGGAGGAGGAGGAGGAGGCAAGACATGAAGAAGGAAGAAAAGGGAGGGTATGAAGGAAGAGAGGAGGAAGTAACAAGGGAAGAGATTGATGTGAGGGAGGGAGAGGGAGGAAGTAGATAATGAGGAAGGAAAGATAAGACTAGGATAGGGGGAGGAGGGAAGAAAGATGTCTCCTCCTCCTCTTCTTCTTCTTCTTCTTCTTCTTCTTCTTCGTATTATTATTATCTCTCTCTCTCTCTCTCTCTCTCTCTCTCTCTCTCTCTTTCTCTCTCTCTCTCTCTCTCTACTAACATGTTTTGATACCTGAAAAATGTTTTGGTCATAAGTGCCACAAATGTCTTTTTTACACTCGACTTTCTACAACATAAACTAACACTTTTTTTTTACACAACTTGGTATATAAACTGTAAAAGACGTTGGCTTCTTCTTTTACACATTTTCACATATAAATTGTAAACCACTTTCACATCAGTTTATGTTTACAGTTGATAGACTTATTTGCATATTATTTTACACAATTTTATACGTAAATTAAACTATTTTTATTTTATTTTTTTATAATTTTCACAGGAGAGAACATTGTTTTTTGTGTTTTTTTTACAGTCGTACCTAAATTATTAACTACAATCATATTATTCTACATCATTTTACATTCCAGATAATTTGCATAATTTATTTTTGCATAGTAATTTGCAACTGTGTATGTCCGTTCCTTCTCAGTTCGTCAGCGGGATTGCGCAAAAATTACGCAACGCAGAAGAATGAAATCTTCCTTTATGCGCGTTCTTGGGGGAGTTGGGTCAGGTCAGGTCAGGTCAGGTCAGATCAGATCAGGTCAGTGCAAGTGGAAACAGGTTAGATTTGGTTAGGTCAGATTAAGTTTGGTCAGGTCAGGCAAGTGGAGACAGGCTAGATTAGGTTAGGTTATATTAGGTCAGGTCAGGTTAGGTTCGGTTCGGTTAGGTCAGGTTAGGTTACGTTAGGTTAGGTTAGGTTAGGTTAGGTTAGGTTAGGTTAGGTCTGCACAAATGGCGACAGTTAGGTGTGCCCACGCATCCGGTGTTGTCAGTTGTCGGTAGTTTTTGCTGTAGCTGAGTGACTCATTTATTTGGCTTGATTAGATATTTTTTGGTGGAGATTTAAATTACGCTTCCTTAACGTGAGAGAGAGAGAGAGAGAGAGAGAGAGAGAGAGAGAGAGAGAGAGAGAGAGAGAGAGAGAGAGAGAGAGAGAGAGATAACTGAAAAATGGACGTGATAATGATGATTGATGGTGGTGATCAGTGGTGATGGTGTTGATAATATAGTGATTATGGTGATACTGGAGAAGGAGAGAATAAACAAGGAAGGAAGGAAGACACAAGGAGGAGGAGGAAGGAAGACACAAGGAGGAGGAAGGGAAACACATGGAAGAAGAAGAAACACACAAGGAGGAGGATGAAGAAGGAAGACACAAGGAGGAGGAGGAAGACACAAGGAGGAAGAGGAGGGGGAGAAGGAAGACAAGGAGGAAGAAGAAAGGCACAATGAAGTGGAAGGAGGAGGAGGAACGAACACATAACAAGTAGGAAGAAGGAAGAGACAAGGAAGAAAGAAGATGAGGAAAAGGGAAGACACAGGGAGGAAAGAAGAAGACACAAGGAGGAGGAAGAAGGAAGAGACTAGGAGGAAAACCTACAAGAGAGGTGGCACATATTGGACGCGATAGTGCCTGGGACAGCCACCTGACAACTGAAGCAAAACATCCCCCCCCCCTTCTTACATGGACGTCGACGGGGTGAGAGAAAGAGAGAGAGTGTGATATATAGAGAGAGAGAAAGAGAGAGAGAGAGAGAAAGAGAGAATTAAAGAGTGATTAGAGAGAGAGAATTAGAGTGTTCTAGAAAGACCGTGAGAGAGAGAGAGTTATAGAGAGAACACAAAAGGAAATGATAAAAAGAGAAAACCATTTGAAAGAGAGAAAAACAAACACATGGAAAAGAGACATAAAGACACACAGACAGATAGACAGAGGTGTACACGGGTGTATGTGTCTGTGTATGTACGTATGTATGTATGTGTGTGTGTGTGTACGAGTGTGCCGTAACCACAAGATAGTCACAGCTGCACATTAATGTTTATTGTCCTGTTTTGTCTCTTTAATGGTGAGAGGGGGAAATGGGAGATGGAGGGAAATGGAGGATGGAAGGAAATAAAGGGAGGAGGGAGGGAGGATGGGTGGATAGAGGAAGGCGGGAGGGAGGATGAAGGTAAATGGAAGGAAGAATGGAGGGAAACGAAGGAAGGAATAAAGGATGGTGGAAAATGGAGGTAGGAACGAGGGATGGAAGGGAGGGAGGGGGTTGAGGAAATGGAGGAAACGCGGAATGGGATGGACGGAACAGTAGAAGGACGTCTTGTATGGGGAGGAAGGGGAGGGGTTAATATTGTATGGGGAGGAAGGGAGGGTTAATCTTGTTGGGGGAGTGAAGGGAGGGGTTAATATTGTAAGGGGGAGGAAGTGCTGGGAACAGTCAAGTGGGAGGAAGGGAAGGGGTTAATATTGTATGGAGAGGGAAGTGGGGAGGGAATTTTGTACAGAGGAAGGGAGGTGGGGTTAATCTTGTATGGGGGAGGAAGGGGAGGGGTTATCTGTATGGGGAGGAAGGGAGGGTTAATCCATGGGGAGAAGGAGGGGAAGTAATCTTGTATGGGGAGGAAGGGAAGGAAGACATGCAAAGGGAGAGTGAAGGAGGGCACTTTGTATGGGGAGGAGGAAGGTAAATTAATAGACAGACACAAGGACAACAGACACACGGGAGGAGGCAGCGGAAGTGGCTTACGGGGAGAGATATATGGAGGTGAGGAAGGTTAAGTACGCATCCCTCCTAGTTGACATACATGGAGGAGGAGGAAGGAGGTATGCTGAGGAGGAAGAAGGAGGTATGCTGA